TAATTCCTATAAGCTGTGCTTATTTATTTATTTCGTTGTCTTAATTAATGTATACAAGACGAAATAATAATATGTACCATGCTTATTGCATCGACATGAAAACTTCAAGTTACAAGATCCTATYAATATGTTTTTCATAATAATATAAGTAATATATTGTGATATTATCCAATATATTGTAATATCATCCAATATCATCCAACAGGAACCCACTCAAAAAACTTAAAATTTTTAAATTATTGGAAGATAATAATATTAATTGAAGATTTTTATACTTTGTTGRTTGTTGTTTTTACCGAGAACTACCAAAATTATCATAGTTTACAATATTAGAACTGGAAAACCTATTATAGTCAATTAATCTTGTAAACTGGGATGATTTAAAACTATTATTCAGAATTTGTGTGCTAAGCAGTAAAAATTGAGTTTACTATAATACATATTATACATCGCAATACAGTAATAAAGGCAAAAACTGTATATTTWTTTTATTGGTTATTAACTTAATATTTAATATGGCACATAAAATAAAAATATTTTTTTTTAAATCGCAGRGATGGCGGGGATTGAAGGTATRATARTGGCAATTTATTACTATCTATAATTAGTTTAAAAAATAATATCAATCTCATCATGCCGATTAATCCGGTTTTCAATTTCGATTCACGTGCATAAATTTACCGTCGATTCGTATATAATACACTTAGGGCAGCCGCAGCTCGTCGATCATACTCAGTCTGTCACTGCAAGTACCTCTGTGCCTTTATATCTATCTCGTTCGAGTAAAAATACAACTCAAATTGATTTAGCGAAACTTTCCAAACAGTACTATATTGAAGTTATCAAAATGAACATTAGAACGCACGTTTTTCAAATGTCAAAATATATTGTTATGAAAAATAATCTTGACATAATATTAAATTATATAGGATGATTTACAGAGCATAATGCTCTGCACCCCCATTGACCCCTTTTCATTAATAATGCAGTTATTTAAAATCTCGTTTTTGATATTTTTCTATATACGTCACGATTACCTATATTCTCAAATCTCTATGATTATTAACTGTA